AACAACACGTTACAAGTAAAGACCCTCTAGGAAGCGGGCCCTTCAAGGAGTACTGCAGCTAGTGTGGCTCCTGGTTTGTGCGAACTTATCCTCCCAGCTATGGCTCTGCCGGACAACAACGTGACGTGTCAGATGCCCCCCCCCTACGAATGCCAACATCAAGGTAAGACCCCTTTAATCGTCGTTGTCCAACGAGCTTGGCGACGTGAACGAACGTCGCCTTGCTGCGGCTGCCTGCGGCTCCCCCTCAGTGCTCCCCTCACGTGCTGGTGCGGTGAATCGCGTAAAGGGTGCTGTAGAACTGGCCGCCCCGCTGTCCGCGTCCAGGATCGTAGCGGTTTGCATCCTCCCTCGTTCCGGGGTCTGTTCCTCCTCACGACTTTGTCGTGGGGGCGCTTCTGCTTCTTCGTCGCTGCTGAGGAGTTGCACGGCCTCCCCCCAATGCGACTGTATCCAAGCTCCCAACTGGTCCAACGCTTGGTCCCCCAGCACTCTCATTTCCCCCTCCAGGAACGGGTGCAGTTGCCGCAGTGCTCGTTGTGCTTTGTAAACGTGGAGTGCATCAGGAGGGTCGCCGCGTGGATGTTGTAGCACCTGTCCCGGTCCGTGCTGGTTCTGGGCAATGGTATCCGCCGGGTGGATGTACTCGTTCTCCCCCCGATGTGGGTATATCCCCACCAGCACCCCCACTCCTGTGGCTGCCTCATCCAGAAGGTTTCGGAGTCGAGGTAGAATATCTCCCACTTGTGGCGGCGCTCCCCCCAGTTCGTTCGGGTTGTCGGTCGCCGTCGCCACTGATAGTAGGGCCAGGGCCTCCTCTGCCGCGTCTGTGGCCCAGTGTGTAACTTGCCAGTTATAACTGTGTCTTCCTCGTGTGAGGAGTGCCATGCCTGCTTGTACTAGCTCCAACAGCTCGAGCATTTCCGCCATCGAAGGTTGTTCCCCTGGTTGGCTGCTTTCTTCCATGACCCCCACTGTAAGCGCGGCAATTTCGAAGGCATTGGGTGTGGGTAGTGGCGTCCCCCTTCGATTCGTCCCCTTGGTACGTATTGTATGTAGTTGCGATAGTCTTGTTGCCGCCGCTGCCAGGTAGTCGACCACTCCAGGCATCCCCACATCGTTGGCCAGCCCCATTGCTTCGGTGATCAGCTCCATGGCTTCTGCTGCATAGTTAGCTCTTTGCTGGCTCCCCCTCTCCTCCGCATTGAGAACATAGTTTGCCGCCGCTTGGGTTTCCGACTCAATGGATTCGAGGAGTTGGGACGCCTGGCTTCTAGCCCTCCTGACGGGGCTCGGCGTTGGCGGGTCCCCCTTTTCGGTTTGGTTGGTCCCCCTCCTCGTTGGACTTCTGCTTCT